TAGACGGCGCCAACTGATGATGTTCTTAACACACTTGAGCAGCGATGTTAATATCAAGTGTACTGAATAGTCGAATTCAATTCAATCTGAGCTCCAAAGTTCTAAGGAATAGGATTTGGGGATTAGTGGGTGATTACGCAAAATGTTTATAGTGGTTCACCAGTTCGAGAGCTCGGTTAATCCACTCTTAAGGAAGTCTCATGCTCCTAAATATATTGATCATTGCGTGAAGTTTACAGAGAATATTTTGTAAGGCTACAATGGCTCTCTCTACTTTCGAGGGTTTTGCCTCCTATTTATAGCTATTCTTGGGCCTTGCTTGATCTAGGGCGAGATCATTGCCCCTCCCTTGTCATGGTTGCCCCTTATTGCGCAACGAGACTTGCGCCTGTTGGGTGATTGATGCCAAAAAAGGGGGCTTGGTGGGATCCAGTTGTCCTTTGCACAGCCTTCCTCGAGATATGGACACGGGGAGTTGAGGTCTGAGGTCGAGGTCTATAGATAATATAGATGAGATGAGCTTCTGACCTGAATAGCATGACCAGGGTTACCGAGCTCATCCTTAGATATTTTTATGGTACCATTAGTATTGATTTTGGTTGTTCTTATGGTTTGGTGTAGAGAAGGACTACATGACTGGTAGCCATCAAGGGTGCAGAAGTTGGCAATGCCAACATTAATGTTATTCATTTGGTAATTAATTTATTTTCTATTTGCACTAAATACGATTGTTTTATAAAACAGTCAAGTGTATGTGAAATATTGGATATCTTGATCAATTAGGTTATTGCCTGTGTATTATTTCTTGAATTGAATTCTTATGAATGGTAGATACTTTTATCAAAATGTTGAAGATTAATATTGCCTAGAATCTCTTGGACTATGATTTTCTATTATTTTTACTTACAATCCTATCCGTATATTTTCTTATGGGTGATGGTGGCTATATGACAGTGGTAATTGAAGTTGAGATAGATGACTTGTTTTTTTTTTTGTGGGTTTGAATTTGGTAGCTTTTATTTGGTTTTGGACGAGTTGTTATGCAATAAATGTTGGATTTTATTGTAGTATGTTGTAGTTTTCAGTTTTCTTTTATAATATCGAGAAATGTTCGCATGTGGCATGTTTGGGTATAGAATGTTGGTGGTTATTTTGGTTGGTGGTTATTTTGGTTATTAGGTATGGAATGTTGATTTTAGGGGAAATAGAATTAAATTGTGATTATGCATTATAATTATTGTTATATATGATTGTGAGTTCTGTAGATTAGATAGTTTGAGATTTTATTGGGCTCCTATTTGTAGAGGAAACTATACCATTTTTTTTTTTGAAAAAATAGTGGGGACTAAACTGATTTTAATTTTTTTAATTAAAGCAAATGAAAGAAATACTATTTTAAATTGACAGGTTTTTTCAGATTGCAAAGTGCCTTTAGGCACGGATTGTCACTCTTTAATGCTACAATCCATTTACACACATAAAAATTATAACTATGAATGACTTGGAAAAACTAATTAGCTCAAGTTTGAAGTCCACTTGAAATCTCATTGACTTCTATATGAATCACTATACATAATTATTTTTGGATTGAGTTATCTTAGCGATTGAAAAGTAAATTTTTGATTTGTTGTCTTGCGGTTTTGTTTTTATTGGTTTGTGTGTTTGTTGTGGATTTTTTCATATACATTTGTTTAAGAGGAAATTTTTTTTTTTTGTTTAAGATGAAACCTTGATAAAGAAAAGAAAATTAAAGCATGTATGAATTTTTTAAGGCATGTCTATGATTGACGTTTATTATATTTTTATTTGTTTTCTTATAGGTACTTACATGGATTTGAGGCTTTTTATTGAGAGTTGAATTTGATGGAAATTTTGAAAGACAACAAGTGAACTTTCTTTTGTATGTTCAAAATCTATCAGCCACTTTATATCTTTGTCTTTAATGTATAGGCGAAATGGATTTCATGTCTTTGTTTTTTTTTTTTTTGTGTGTTGGTTTGAATTTGGTAACTTTTATTTGGGTTGGATGAGTTTTTATGCAATAAATATTATGTTTTGTTGTAGTATGTTGTGGTTTTCAAGCTTTTTTTATGATGTAGGAAAATGTGTAATGTGATATGTTTGAGTATGAAATGTTGATGGTTGTAAAGTGGTTTGGTACGTATGCTTATTTTGGGGGAAAATGGAATTAAATTGTGATTGTGTATTATGATAATTGTTATGTATGATTGTGAGTTATGTAGATAAATTGAAATTTCTTTGGGCTCTTATTTTTAGAGGAAACTTTACCAAAATTTTTTGAAAAATAGTGAGGCTAGATTGATTTAAATTTCTTTAATAAAGTAAATGAAGAAAAAACTAATTCAAATTGACAAATTGTTTTAAGTTGAAAAGTGCCTTTAGGCAAGGGTTCTTGCTAGTATTGTCATATTATGAATAATAATAAGAATGGAAGTAATATTGATGGGCTTTTGACAACTTTCTTGTTCTAAATATACGAGAGGAGAGAAGAGTTCCGGGTGGGATAACATGGGCCGCCCCACCCACAAAGCCAACAAAATCTGGACTTTAGGCCCCGTGTTTCAAGAAGGCCCACAAATTTCTAAAGTGTATACTTAGTCCAAATTAAAAAAATTTAGATCCATAAAATTTTAGGTCCTAAAAAAAAACTCTATGAAATTTAAACCCAATCAAAAAAAAATTTGAGTAGTTTGGCCTCAAAAACTCAGCCCATGATATTAAAAATACACCAAAATAAATTTTTTAGGAAAAAAAATTCTAATTGGTCAACCAAAACACATTCATCTCTCTCTCTCTCTCTCTCTCTCTCCCCCTATGTGTCCGAAATATAAAACTTAAAAATCTCATATTACAAATTATTTTTGATTTGTATTACGAAAAATATACCAATAGTTTTTTATTTGTTATTAAATTTAAAAAATTAAAATCAGCAAACTATGATTATTTGAAATAAAACGAATTTTTTTAAATTTAAAATTAATAAAATATTCTCTAGGATCAATTATCACAAGAAAATTTGAGGGATTGATGATACTATCAATATAAAAAGATATGGTAGAGAAACTTATTAGACATAAAAATTAATAGTACTTTTAATCTCAAAAAACAAAAAGAATATATTTTAAATAAAAATTATTAATGTTAAAAATAAAAGGCCTCACTTTTAATTATCGTTTTAGGCCTAAAATAACCTTGGGCCACTCCTTGGATAATATAATAGGGATATAAGAAAGTGCGGAATATGTTACAAAGTTATAAATATGAACAAATGGAAATAATATTAATGGGATTATTAAAGAGTGGATGTTGGTGTCTTTATGCATCTTGTCAAGGACAACTTGGAAATTCCAAAGTTTTTCTCCAGTATGGACATGTAGAAGTAAATTATAGATAAACAGCAATAACATCCTCAACACGCCACAACCAACATTTCTGGTTTTTTTTTCCCTTATCAATCCCATGCAATTAGAATTTCCCATGTCCTAGACAATTTCAAACTTATTTACCAAATTCGAGCAATTTTTTAAAAAATCATTCATAATGAAGTCTTATAAGATTTATAGACAATGAGATTTATCTGCACAGTGAGCGTATTATTTATCAAAATGTAATTTTTTAAAAACATATATATCGAAATACGGCACTTTTGAACATATTTATCAAACTACAAAACTTTTTAAAAGCAAATTTAATAACTCCGCTTTCATTGAAAAAACAAATTCAATAATTCTGCTTTTGTTAAAAAACAAGTCAACAATTCCCTTTTTTTATTTAAGAGAATAGAACCGAAGCGTGTTTAATAAACACGCTTGTTAAGTTTTTTCTGAAAAACATTTTTCATAAACACGCTTTCACACAAAAATATCATGAACAGGACCATCATTTCTGAAAGGCGTCTCTCTCTTCCGTTGCATGATTGAATTCCTTTTTGCAATATTTTGTGGGTTTCTGAGTAGTTGACTTATGCTGAATGGTTGACCCTGTTTTATATGCACTTGGAACATTATTCTCTTCGGTCAAAGATTCAAAAACAAACATTTGGTTTGTGGGTTTCTGAATTTCGAAGTGATTAATTCATCACTACTTGTTTGAGATGATTCTTCTAGATGATGGGTTTCTGGATTCAATTTCGAAGTTGAATTCAGCTTTTAGAGTCATGGAACCATAGGTGCTAATATGATTTTGTTCTTGAACTCCTCTTCTTAAAGACCGGCCGAGAAATGGGTGTTGCTAAAAGAGATGGGTTTTGCTATTCTTTGGAGAAGAGAGAGAACCTGTTCATCTTCCCAAAACAAATCTTGCTCCAACAAGAGGATAGGGGAGAGAGAAGGGTTCCTTCAATTATTGTTCTTGTACATGGTGCTTCGCCCTCTTCCTCCAGTAAAGAGCATCTACCAAGAGTGACTGGGTTTGTTGTTGCAAACAATATTACCGTATGTAAAAAGTATTGTTGCAACATATTAAAAGCGGGTTTAATAACCAGGCTTTTAAACAAGCGTGGTTAGTAAACAAGGGTAGCTAGTAAACACGCTTTTAATGTGCAATTATCAATTTTATTTTTTAAAAAAAACGGGGTTGTTGACCCAATTTTTTAATAGAAACGGAATTATTAATTCCATTTTTAAAAAATAATGTAATTTGATAAATAAGTACAAAAATGCTCTATTTTGATAAATTTGTTTTAAAAGAATGGTATTTTGATAAATAACTCTACAGGGAGCAATGTAAAACTTGAATTCGTCGTTTCAAATAACAATTGTTACAAGTACTTGGATTTATTAGGGAATAATGTTGAAACTACCTGGATTTGAGAAATGAGATTTTTAAGGGCTTGGGTTTAGCCAAAAAACTCAAAAATTTCTTCAATACAGACATGCATCAACTACTCAAGAGTTGGGAAATTATCTGCACCAAAGTTGGGCAATTTACAAACAGAACCTAAAATTTCCATTCTTCAAGGTAGCCACAAGTGGAAAGCACTAGTCACCTGTTAGGGCCCGAGGTCTATGTTCTATGGTAAACAGAGACATTCCTGTCTGTAAAATAGCTCTTACAAAAGCCATGTTTGCAGTTAAAGTTGGAGCATGCCAGTAATCTCCTGTGCCAAAAACAACCTTGTTCTTCAAGGCTAGCTTTCTGGTGGTTAGAAGGCTCATCATGCGCTCTGATGGACTATCAGGAACAATCCTGCATAATTCTCTAATTATTGTAAAAATATTCAGGTATAGTCAACACGACATTATAATATTTTTCATTGGCCTCCATAAACTATCCTAAAATATGTATCCACATTAAATCTAACTTCTGAGATATTTTAAGTAAAAGAAAGAAAGGACAATTTAACAAAAAGGGAAAGAAGGAAAAAAGAAAAGAAACTTTGTTCACTACAAAGTTGAGTACTACTACATCATGTTGAATGTGACTTGCAACCTATCACATTAGCCAAAATATTTAAGCAATTTTGTTCGGCCCCTACCCAGAAATAGCACAGTGGAACATGTTGAGATCTGTATCCAGAAATATGTAGAATTTGTGAGTAAGGGGATATGACTCTGTAGTGTATTGCTCAAAAGGGCCATGGTAACTGGATCATAATAGGTCTAAAAATATAAAAATGGCAATCATATACGAAGCTCCGAAATTTCCAGTTCAAAACGGTCAGCAGTGTGGAGTTTGACTAATACAAAATTTCATATAAACTTTAGAGGGTGAACACAGAGTTTTAACATGGCAGGAAATGTTCAATGGATTAACCCTTAAATTCTGACACATCCAGTCCAATCTTGTTCCATTCATTTGTGCATCACTACAATATTCCCCAACTCAGGCTCAAGCTCAGCTTGATCAATAATCAGCTCCTGAATAAAAAAGCAATCCCATGATATAGAGCATGATCAGAATTTCACATGGAGAGACTTAAGGCCTTGTTAATCATGCTTATAACGACACCAAGTATTTTATGTGTACTTTAGGTAAATATGAAAATGTATTGTTAGTTACCAAAAAATGTCAATGTATCATTTACGTGTTGGAACTCGAGCATGTTATGATCATTCTCTTGTTTCAATGGGCTATAAGGTTGGACAATAGTATTTTGGGAAAACTTCTCTGTTGTGGGCCAGACTTAATGGTTTGATAGTCCGACCAAAGGCCCAAGCACATTTAAAGTCAAATTTGGTCCAAGAGGTCTTCGTCCCAAGTTTGCTTGGTCACCAAGTTGTTCTTGGTTCCCGAGTCCTATTGTGACGATCAGGCCTAACTGGACATAATATTGTCTGCTTTTCTCAATGAGCTCAGTCTTAAAGTCTTGTGCTTGTTTAGGACGAGCATCCACTTGTTAGCTCATCACTCAGTTGGTACCAGATGACGTGGGGGTAAAAAGGATGGCTGTCCAGTTGGGTCGGATCAACACTCATCTTCTATATAAGTTTTTCGGCACAAGTGCTGCGTGATTTTTCCAATCCCTTGAAAGGTTGAATTCTCTCTCTCTCTCTCTCAAGGCATATTGTTCACAAACCTCAATAACCTCCTCTTCAACCACCAAACAGCCCCAAACTAATTCCACCTCAAAACCATATCCTACCTTTTGGCCCTCATATCAACACCCAAAACATCATTGATTGCCGTGTTCGAGAATTTTAAGAGGCTATTGTCAAGCCCATTTTATCCCTTTCTCAATCCTAAAGCCCACCACCAGGTCCCACTTCTCAAGCACCTGAACCTACTGGGTACATCCAACTTGACTTGCATCATTATTCCACCGATTAAAGGTGATCATCAAGTCATAATCAAGTTAAAATGGGTTTATGTAACTATCAAGGATCAAAATTTCATTTCGGTGCATTGTTTTGGTCTCCTAGGAAACAGAAACATTTTGCTTTTAGAACCGTTTCAAAAACGTTTTGATTGTTTCGAAAACATAATGAAAACAAATAAAAAAATTGAGAATTATTTTCTCAAAACGTTGGTGGAAATATACCAAAATATCTTGAAACACCTTAAAACATTCCAAAACAATTGTGTAAATATGTCGAAATACTATAAAACATCTAGAAAACATTATGAAACACCTCGAAATATTAAAATTTCGATTTCATCACTGATTCATTTCGCTCTCCTTGAAAATAGAAACGTTTCAGCTAATTTTAAAACGAAATTTTAATCCTTGGAAACTATGACATGCAAATTTAAAAACAAAAGATAAGGCTAGGTAACAAAAGGATATAATTGTAATCTTACTAAGGTTCACATTGAATCAATATGTTAGTAGCATAATTGTTAGTACCGTACGATATGCATACATTTCGATACAAGAAGAAAATGATTCATATCGCTGAAGTGCTTTTTTTTGGATTTTAACTAGAAACAATGTCTATTCACATGGAAGTATTTTTTTTAAACACTAGGTAGTGAAACGATGAAACGACATCGTTTTACAATATAGTGTCTAAAAAAATACAAGCCTTCTTTTGTTGTTCATTCCCTGACAGAAGCAAATAGATTGATTGTCAAAAGTATCCTCCTTTGGGTCCTCTAGATGTTAGAACTAGAACTCTCAAAATTTTGATATTGATAAATTATGTTACCAACTTAAATACTTAGTTTGTTAATTTTTTGTTTTGGTCCTTGTTATCTATTTAAATTTTTTTATGTGAGAAGTTTATGGTACAATGAAATGTCATTATGACCTTTTTTCATAGGTATATGTATTTTTTAAAATCTTTCATAAAATTGCACGTATTTTATGATACACGATACATTACGATGCGTGATACACAATTTTCGAAAAAAAGATACACCTTTCGATACACGTTTTAACGACCTTGGCTAGTAGGATGGTTCTCATTATATTCTATGAAGTTTTAGGTGCCAAAGATATTTAGTATTGCTATTGGTTTTTGGTTGTGGACTACGGTGATGGGCTTTCATACTGCGATCTCGGTAAGTATTTTGGGTGATGGATGACAATCTAACATGGCCACATAAGGGTCCGTGCCTCTTGGCCAAGAATCCAAAGCCTAGAAGCCAACAGCTTGGCCCTAAGTGTCTTGGTGACCAAGCCCATCTTGCTCACCAAGTATTGAGCTTGACACTAGATATATTCTGTAATTTACTAGCTTGCATCAGTAGAATTGGATGAAATCTAGTAATTTGTAGTGAGTTATGATTGTTTATGTTTTACTGTTCACAACAGCCTGAATTCCGCCTGTTATCGTTGCCCATCCTTTCAAGCCTTAATCCACCTCAAGACAAGCCCTACTCATTGGCCATCTAATCAACACAAAACCCTCAACACCTGCTGCCCAGATTTCTTCCTTGCGATTTGAATTTTCAAAATCCTACCATCTCAGATTTTCAAACCTGATCAACCTCAATGAGAAAGGGAGAGGAGCTACATTTTTTTATCAAGGGTTGAGAAAAGCTTCACAAAAGTTCTTTAATCCAATGATCAATAGGATTTCACATAAGAAAAAGAAATGATAGGGACACAATAAATTAAAAAGAGTCGTAAGGACCCAAATGCCTCCTACAAAAGGCCTTCTAACCTTCATATGCCTGGAAAACATGTGAGGACACTGTGATGAACTCACAAAATGAAAATAGATCTCTCTCTTGCCTAGATTAACAACCCAAGCCCCAACAATTCTGAGGTAACACTTCTTTGCCTAGAAGTACTACCTCCAACTTGAGCCTTGGACCCAGGAGAATCACCGAGAAAACTAAAACCACCAAATCATGTGTCATCCATAGAACAAACTCCGCCAAGGAACTCTATAAACAACAACTATAAATGTCCACAAATGACAACTAATTTCATCACCCTACATTATTGATAAATTGGCAATGCATAGAAAAAGACCGATGACAAATAACCAAAGGAAAGCTACATAATGCACAAAAAACAATAAAAATCTAAGCACTCTTGGGTTATGTTTCCATATCATATTCAAAACTCGCACATACGAAAATAATTCCCATCACATCCAACGGAGATTAATATAAGAGAAGATCCAAATTGCTGAAGGAACTCACATGAAGTGTTTTAGCAAATAATCAGCCCTCAACTTCTCGTTAGGCCCACCACACATTGACACTAGCTCCTTGAACTCTGAAAAAACAGTTTCACATATGATGCCTTGCTTTCTGGATATCAAACTGCCCAGTTCCACAAGGAATGGATTCTGAATTTCAGACATCACCTAGCAAAAGTTCAAAATCAGATATACTACCAATGGACATGGTCACCATACTTACAGAAGAAGCAATATGGAAATCTACATATAAACCATGGGTGTCAAATTACAACTTCAAGCTACCAAGTGGAAGCAATGTGAAGAAAATTGCCCAAGGACAAAAACAAAATCCCTCGTAACTACCAGTAGATAAACTGTAGACCTCCAGCGATTACAAAATTTTTAAATATATCTTCATTGGCAAATTAATAAGAACTTTTTTGGGCTGCTAAATTGGCTAATGTGTATATCTTGTCGTTCTTTTTACTTTGTACATGTCAGAATTCAAGAAATGATATTTTCCTGCACAGAAGTACTAATTTGATAACTAATTCCAATTGTATTTCATATTTTTTGAAAGAATAATAGACAGGAGAATATATACATACTTATTCCGTACATATACTTACATAAGATAGCAATGCAAAGGAACATTCTCATATACATGACGTCTCAGGGAATGGAGCTCTCAACCATTCATTATGGTCAGTGAATGATCAAGTGCACCTATTATTAGGCTAAGAGTAACTTCACCAATGCTCTTGCTTCAATTTCAACTTAACAGCACAAAGATGTATATAAGATCATCTTTTGCGGAATTTGTATACAATCAGCTTATAATCATTGTCTAGTAAACAAAACAAACAGACTCAGACTCTCAGAGACAAATTGATACTTACTATTCTGTTGGTTAATAAATTCTTGATCTCCCAGCAGTAATTATAATGCTATTAGTTAATAATTTATAGACCTCCCAGTTACAAAAGCAGAGAAAATGAAAAACATAAAGTGCCAAAATATATGGAGTAATCAAAATTGACAAATCACGAATTCTGCATGCACTATAGATACTTAGATATAAACTGGAACATGCACCATGGAGAAAAAAGTATGTCTTTCTAGCAAGGGTTAATTACAAAATGCCCCCTCCAAGTATAGGCCATTATGCAATCAGTTCCTCGTGTTTCAATTTAAACAATTTGCCCCCCTAAAGTTTTCGCAAGATTAAATTGACTCAAAGTGGATGGGAGATATAAAATTCCTAAAATATCCCAAACCTTTAATATATTCTCTTTCTTCTCTTCCTACGCAACCTAATAAAACACAAGCCTTAATATAATACATAAACCCAACCTCTTTTCCCAACTCCAGCAGCCCCCAACCCCCTTCCCCCACTCCAGTTGTACACCAACCCTCATACCTAATTCCAACAACCCCTCACCTCCATACCCAATGCTAGCAGTAGGCAGTCCCTTACCTCCATACCCAACAAGGTCTCTTTCAATCTTAACTAGGTTATGTTGCGTCATATATCAAACCAGTAACACCACCCCCCGATGTCCACTAGCGGCGAACTCCAATGCCACTCCCCAATTCCTTAGTAACACCATTCGTGCAATCACGACCCAGAAGATAATTCGAAGATTAGTTAGAATAGAGAGTTGTTGAAAGGGGTGGTGGAGAGGCAACCGTGCTGTTCTCGCACCTTTGTCCCTGAGTTAAATCCCCAGCAGGTTTTTTACTCCTTGTTTTTCAATTCAACCACAAACTCCACTTTGATTTCGTCAAAATTGGTGGTACTGTGGTAGTTACACTGGATGTGGATGGGTTTTGCTAGTTTGAGAGAGATGTGGATGGGTTTTGTTAATCGAAGGGTTCTTGCCTTGTTGGGTTGCTATTTCCATGGTGGGCAGCTGTCTGCAAGTTGAACAGTGGTAAGAGTTGCGGGGGTTTCTATTTATGGGCGAGGATGGGTGGGGTGTGCTGGTTGAGATGTGATTGGGCGTGGGTGTAGGTGGTAGTGTTGAGAGAGGATTTTAAATGTGTTTCTTTTAAAAAAAAAAAACATACACACACAGAGATTGAAGGGAATATATGTCTTTTAATTGTATTAATGTTGACTTCTATCAATTTTAACGGTGAAGGATAGCAGAAATAGGGCGATTAAGATATGTTAAAACTTGAAGGGGGCAAATTGTTTAAATTGAAACCACAAGGGGCTAATTGCAACATGACCTATACTTGGAGGGGGCATTTTGTACTTAACCCTTCTAGAAATTGAATAGGGTCTCTTCATCTCTAAATATTTGTTACTGAGCTAAAATTGAGAATTTGCCTGATGTTTTTCCCCCCGGAAGGTTCGCAGGGAAAATTAATCCAGAAACAGACTAATCCATAATACATAGCATTGTCATAGAATTTCATATAATACACAAACCCCTTTTTATAAATAATAGAAGATCCCAAATTCAGGAGACACAAACATTTCCACACAATGATGGTCATAGTTAGATACTGACAGAAAATTCAGAAGTTCTGCAGGATGGTCACGATTATGCTACTCTGGTAGGTAGCGCTATCTTATTTTAGAACACATAAGAAATGAAACAAAAGTACCTGGGCGATTACAAACTCAAAGTTGCTCTTAAATCGTCTTCTCAGTTTGGTCTCTGGTGTAGTTAAAAGTTTCTCTGTAATTCCGTTGCTGATCCCTGATACAATAGCAATCAATGCTGTTGTATCAAAATTTATCAGATCAACCCCACCACCTGACAAGTCATCTAATAAAGAAAACTCCGGACTTTTAACATCCAAAGAACATAACTTCATTCCCGAAATGAAAGAACAGAAAGAACTACCCAAGTTTAGACCAATGTGCTCTCTCGAGATTGAGAGGTCTTGTCTCACATCACCCAGGCTTGCGTCTTTGACCGCATATTCTATTTTTGAGATTGTATTCCTAGAACAATCAACCTGAATTTCAAGGAGGCATGCCTGTCTATACGATCTTGTGTCTATATATATCCACTCACCCTCTTGTTCCTCAGAAAATGCATATTCAACATCGGGGAACTCTATTTCAAAGTTAGTGGCTCTAAATTCATCACAAAGCTTCTCACAAATGCTGCCATCTAGTCCTTTTGAGAAGAAAAGGATGATTGAAGAAGGTTTTAGTGCTACAGAACACGAGGCCCCATCAAGAACTTGTTCAATTCTCGTTCTCAATCCCTTGTTGCTACCACACCCTTGCCAAGAAATGTACTTGGGATTCCTGTCAGATACAATTATCCATACTGGGTTTCCATTAAGAGTACAGACTATATCAACATGGACGCCTTTGGGACAAATCTTAGCCTTCTCCTGCCCATTTTTAACTGCAGGTGATAGAGGAATCTGCTTACAGACGCGTGATACCCCAGTAACAAATGGCTGCTCAAGAATATGTATGACCGCTTCTAGATGACCAATGTTGACACTGTCATTGCATCATCCAAATTGCTCAAATTTCACATGGTATTATTCCCTTTAGAGTGTGTGTGTGTGTGTGTGTGTGTGCCTGTATGTGTGTGTGCCTGTGTGCGTTTCAATATGTTGACAAAGTAGTAGCAAGTTCAAGCAAGTATTGAATGGCCACATAGACAAATATCAGACACATAAAGATATCAAAAAAAGTTGCCATGAACATGGTCAAGGATCTGTTAAATTGGTTAACTAGTTGCTCGTACTGTGTAGAGTATGCCGTTCTTCACTTCTGCAATTTTTACACATCAGTTAAATAATTCAATTCTTAAACTTAACTACCCTATTACCCACCCACCAAACAAAATAGAATCACGATCAGAAAGAAACATTTGCATCTTTCTTTTCTTAATTGCAAGATCATATATATGCACGTGTGTGTTAGAGAGAGAGAGAGAGAGAGAGAGAGGCAAGCTACCTGAGTGATGGGCTGGGATTGGAATTGGAAAAGCGAGAAAGGAAAGAGAGCTCGGAGTGGACCAATCTCAACAGAGTTCGCTTGCAGGAATCAGTAATTGTATTATTAGAGGATGAGGATGAGATTGGCCGTAAGCTTAAGCTTTCAATTCGATCTCTGAGGGCTCTGCATCTCCTTTTCGCCTCTTCAATTGCTGCTCCCAAAGACGCTGCCTGGTCCTCACTCATATTGTCCCTCCCTGGCTCTACTCAGAAACTCACCAGCATGTTTTTTATGATTTTTAATACAATTGTATTTCTATTTTGCGAAAATTTCATTTCGACCTCCTTAACTATGCACTTTATTTTATTTTATCTCTTAAACTTTTGAATTTTTTACATTGCCCTTTAATTACTCGATGATGGGTTCACGATGGTCGAAAAAGATCAATGTGTGTGCATTAAACGATTCAAAAGAAGTTTTATTATCCTATTTTTATATGTTGACTATATTCCAATGTTTTGAAACCCGGCTCAGCGGGTCAACCCGGTGAACAGGTCAACCGGTTCCCAAACCGGGCCGGGTCTAACAAAAAACCGTTTATGCTAGTAACCCGTGAGAACCAGCCGAGTTTACCAAATCAGACGGTTTAAATTCAATTGTATAAATATGAGATTTTTTTCATCCTTTGGACATTTTGTGTTTTTCCCCCTTTTGTTTTGCCATAAATCGATCCACCAGACCAAACACCAACAACTGAAGCACTGAGCACAGCCTCCACCTCCACTACCAACGACTAAGCTCAGCCTCCACCACCAACGACTGACTCCAGTCCTGCCTCCACCAGCGAGCAGCAAGCAACAGCGATCAACAGGTAGCAACGATCAGCAGTGTGGTTCACTTTTTGATTTTCCCTAAATCAATTTTCAAACCAGACAACAACGATAAGCACAGCCTCCACCACCAACTAAGTCCACTTCCCGGAATCCAGTCTAGTCCAGTCGACTCCAATCCAGTCCACTGACAGCGAGTTTCCCTTTCTCTCTCTCTCTCCCTCCCCAGTCCAGTCAACTCCAGATCACTTGTGACGCCCTTAAAACCGGGGGAGGTCCTTTTTCAACCGTTGACCACCCGTCAACCCATGAAAGTACCCGTGATTGTTGCACAACTCAACATCGCATCAATAGCATCCTCTTAACTGGGATCATCACCCACACGTGTAACCCAGGTATATTTTACCATTTGACCTAGCCAAAGTCCGATATATCCAATTTATCCTTTTTTTATGTCCATTTATATCCTTGGAACCAAAGAACCCAAAGTCTAAAAGCATGCAAAACCATTTTTAAAATTTCAGATTTTTAGAAGGTGTACTGGTATGCCATACCGGTACGAGTTGTCCACTGGACCTCGTCATATTGGTACGCCATACCAGTATGAATTGCCCACTAGCCCTTGTCATACCAGTACGCCATACTGGTACGCTTTGCAGACTTTTGCCTGTTTGACCTATTTTGCATTTCCAACTTAATCCAACCTATATTATATCCATCCAACACATGTATAATGAAGATTTGCATTTAATACAAGGTCCATACACATTCTATTACATTCATTTCCATAATTTTACAAATCAAACTAGGATTTCATAATACTTTACAAAACCCTCAAAATAAGCCACATTCCTGCTTTCTTCATCTTTGAAGTCTCATGTGAGGGCCTCCTTCCGACGAGTACCCCGCATATGAAATATTTTTCCGTATAAAGTGAGTCACGCCCAGTAGAGTATTTCCTACTGAGGTTATTCTCCAACCTAAATACATATGAAATGTGCATGAAACACTTAACAAACAACAACATCCCAACAAGAATATATTATTCAATGTTGGAATTTTAGAAATGTTATGTCATGAAATGAGATGAAACTCACTCATACAACTCAACCCAAACCCTCCTTAGCTCCTTTTCCCCCCATTTTTGTCGTGAGTATAAAAATCGGCTTTCCCAGCCCCGCCATTGGTGTTACACACCCAATAACTATTTAAAAATCTATATGTCTTTCTTAGGGTAGGTATTTATGGACTTACACCAACGGCACCCAACCAACATGGAATTTATGGACTTCCACCAATGGTTCCGCGTACACAACATACTTTATGAGCTCTTATACCAATGGAGTGCGTATCCGATACTGGGCCTCTCACCCGAGGGATTGTCCAACCCTTCTTGCTAACCCCGACCCAATTCTTTTTATCATGTAACCGTAAAACTCAGTCGAATTTTCAATCCAACTTTTTTGAGCTCACTCATCAACCACCAAGTGTGGTGCTTGATCAAACCATGCACACACTCATACCCACACTCATGTCTCGTGCCCATGGATGCGATACCTCTATGCAAATGCAATGTAATGCACCAGTTCTAAATCAATGTTATGCCCCATATGTAATGAATGTCATATGAGCAAATTTTACCATATATATACATATTCCACAGCAATTCATATCTCTTGCATATAATCACCATTTCATTTACACAATTTTCAAACATGTTATCACATAATCATGCAATTAATACACTAAACTCATCAAGGCAATAATGTAAACACATAACATGCCCAAAAATCACATTTTCCATGGAATTATACAAGTAATTACCACATATCAATCCCAAGTTAGGAATTCATTTTAAACCATTTCTACACCTATTTTCTTTCCCATTTTTCAATACTCATTGCATCAATTTCTCAACCATAGGTAAGTATGAAGTCTCTACAACTTACCCATTTCATATATCATTCTAGGTTAGAGAATAAACCAAAGTAGGAAGGAACCCTACCTCTTAAAGCGTAAAATACCATCAAGAAACTGCAAGACCCCAAAAACGAGCTAAAATCTCTGGCTTCCAAAAATTCTGTTCCTTGATCTTTTGTAAAACCCGTGCTTTTTAGTACAGCAGCGTAGCCCTCGTCGAGGAGATCGACTTTTGTTCTTGACCCATGTTGATTTGAGCACCATAGAGCCGTAAATCGTAGAGAGAAGTGGAGAACCCAACCTTTTTCCCTCTCTTCCTCTCACACGTTATAACCAGCAGATCAATAGGGGAAGAAATCAGATTTTTTTTCCCTATTTATACCCCTAATTTGCTTGGCCCACAACACACCACACGACCCTCTTTTTTTCGGATCCGTTTTCGCCTTGAAACGATTAAATTTTGTCCCGGTTTAAGTTCAAAATCTTTTTATTTTAACTTGCCTCAATTTATTTTCTAAATTTTAAAATTTAATTAAAATTTCCATTTTTTTGGGTCACTTGAGAGCTGACCACCTCGTAAAACGCAAAAAATTTGACTATTTCAGAATTCGACAAAAATTGACGGGGTAGCTAGATTTCACAAGATAAATCCAACAGTGAGATCCGTTTTATCATCCGAGATCTAGAAAATTTTAGATTTTTAACCCGTATTATAGTGACAAATTATTGTTTTACCCTTTTCGTAAAAAGTTTAAATTTACCCGAGTTTTATATTTTTTTCCCTTAAAAGAATTTCGTCCCAGAAATTCACACACACCTGCACACTTAATTGCATGCATATGCAACATTAATACTATGCTTAAAATGATAGAAGTGTACCTCCATCCTCAAACAGGAACGGGTAATTGGTACGAATGGTATCCTTACGCTCCCATGTCGCCTCCTCCATACTTCGGTGCTACCACAGCACTTTCACTAGCCTCACGGTCTTACCTCGTAAAACTTACTCTCAGCTATCCATGATACGCACCGGTCCCTCCTCAAAGGTCTCATCCGCATCAATAATCAACTCACCCTAATCCACCACATGTGTCAGATCTGGAGTATACTTTTGGAGCATAGAGACATGGAATACCACGTGAACACCCAATAAATTTGGCGGTAACACCAATCTATAAGCCACTGTACCCACCCTCTTGAGTACCTCAAAGGGTCCGATAAACCTTAGCGACAGTTTTTCCTATTTTTCGAATTTGACCACTCCCATCTTAGGCTTCACCTTCAAGAAGACGTGATCTCCCACCTCAAACTCTAGAGGTCGCCGCCGTCTGTCGGCGTAGCTCTTCTGCCAACTCTGAGCCATGAGAAGACGCTTCCATATCAAGTCTACCTTCTCCGAGGTGTATCTAATCAAATCTGGACCCGTAGAGGTCTTTCTCCAACCTCCGTCCAACATACTGGAGAACGACAAGACCTCCCATATAGTGCCTCATAGGGTGTCATCTGAATGCTTGCCTAATAACTATTATTGTAGGCAAACTCCACTAAGGGTAAATGCTCTTCCCAACTGCCCTTGAGATCTAGGAGACACGCCCGTAGCTTGTCCTCTAATATCTGGATGGTCCTCTCTGGTTGACCGTCCATCTGCGGATGAAAAATTGTGCTCATTATCAATTGTGTCCCCATGGCCCATTGAAAACTCTCCCAAAAGTGAGCCGTAAACCTGGGATCCCGATTAGATACGATAGATATAGGCACGTCATACAACTGGACAATTTCCCATATATACAACTTACAGAATTTCTCCAGTGTGAAGGTCATCCACACTGCCAAAAAGTGTATCAACTTCGTACGCCGATCCACTATCACCCACACCACATCATATCCCCCGCGATGTCCATGGCAAGTGAGTCACAAAATTCATCGTGACATGCTCCCACTTTCACTCAGCCACCTCAAAAGGTTGGAGTAACTCCACTAGTCTCTAGTGCTCAGTCTTGACCTGCTGACACGTGAGACATCGACTAACAAAGTCCCCAATGTGTCTCTTCATCCCACTCCAATAATACTGGCGACGAAGATCATGATACATCTTTATGCCAACTAGATGCACCGCAAATCAGGAGCAATGGAACTCAATATGGATCTCCTCTCTCAGATCTGCTAACTGGGGAACTACAACCCTTTCCCTGTACCGAAGACTGTCATCTGAGTGAATAGTCCAGCCCTCGTCACTGGTACCTGCCTACACTCGGTCCCTGTTGGATGATAACTTGGGGTCCTGCCCCTAGGACGCTATCACTCTGCTCAGTAAGGAAAGTGTAGCCACCAAGCTCCTAAAAAATCCTGAGCTTGATCCCGATAATGCAACCCAAATTGTCCTACAGTCTTGAGCATCCGCCATTCTCAAGAAACCGCACTAGCCACAACTCTTCATGCCTTCCGACTGAGTGCATCAACCACCATGTTTGCCTTACTAGGGTGGTAATACAAAGTGAAGTCGTA